CTTTTGATTTTGGGCTTGATTGTAAGGCTTGCATGCCATTTACTTTCCATTTTCTATTTTAGGCAAGTAAGAGTTTTAGTCTTTAGTTATTCCTATTTGAGGTTGGATTGTCAAAATATAAAATCCTATTAGGATTTGTTTCCTTAGCATATAGGATTTGTTTCCTTAGTAGATTAGGATTTGTTTCCTAAGCATATTAGGAATTTTCCTTGTAATGGCCAGTCTTATAAATAGGCGTTTAATCAATGAAAAAAGGCAGATAATTATTTTAGTAAAATTTGAGTGTTTTCTCTATGGTTCTTTGAAGAACTAAACGAATTTATTGGGATTTTTTGTGGCGTTCNGCAGATCATTATTTTAGTAAAATTTGAGTGTTTTCTCTATGGTTCTTTGAAGAACTAAACGAATTTATTGGGATTTTTTGTGGCGTTCACCAGCGATTTATCAAATGGGTTTCCACTACCATTTGTGGTGTCTTCCTTATACCAAGGTTCTTGTTTTACATCAAACAACGGGTTGAGGTCATATATACCAAGTTTCTTGTTTGTCATAAACAATGGGTCGAGGTCTATCATTCAATTCTGATCTCGTTATGTTTGGCGGGTTTCACATCAGCCTTTTTAGAAGATACCTTATTGAGCGTGACTTACCCTTTATAGGAACAATATTTCAGGTGTGGGACAAACACCAATAGATGACCCTCTCTTGGGCCCTTGTTGAAGAAAAAGCTAAGTTGTGGCTTTAAAATTATATTTTTAAAAAGCAATTGTGTAATTTGAATTGAACTTGTAAATTGTATTAATAGGACATGTAATGAACTCTCACAGACTAGAGTTTGAGTATATGAATATATGAAAGAGTATGGAATGGGTTTGGATGGATAAAGGTGGGAGATTGGAAAGATTTGGGGAAAATCTAGACCTAGGTACCTGAACCTAAGTGATTAAGTATCAGTACCAAGCTGTTGGATGGGCCAGGTATGGGTACCTCGACATACAGGTACAATACCTGGATTCTAGTGGGCTCGGGTACCAATACCAAGACTTTAGGTACTGATACCTTTATGGACAATAGGCTCAGGTACCGATACTTTTGGAAAAGCCAGCGTTTATAAACGTCGGCAAAAGCCGATATAACACTAGCAATAATATTTAATGGCATTTGAAGTAAACATCGCCTATTCTGCTATCAAGAAAATCACTGGCATTTTCTTAAATGCTGGAAAATTTAAACTAGCATTTGTCCAACCAAAAAACTAAATGTCAGTGTGTTAGTCAAAGCCGGTGAGGTCATGACCAGTATATAACTCTCTTATCTTAAATTCCAAAAAGAGAGAAAAACTGATTAAGAAAAATTTAGAACTAAAAATTTGATTTAGTACTACTAGCATAACTAGCACAATTTTTTATTTGAGTCAAAAGCTTCCTGAGTTGTGAACTGATTAAGCACAACTATGAAACAAAAAAAAAAAAAAAACAATCAGGGGCAAAATGAATTTAGGGAAATATACTTAACGAAAAGAACACTAACTTGCAATCTTGTGAATGAACCCACAAACAACTATAGAATCATCAAGAGAATGAACTTACTAGAAGACTTGACAAGTCGAATTGCTTGATTTAGTTGAGCTCTCTATGATGGAGGCTAGGGCTTCAAGGGTGGATGCAAGGTATGGAATATGACAATACAAATTCATGTAGGTACCGATACCTAGCAAATAGTGGCCTCAGGTACTGATACCCCGTCGCCTAGGTACCAATACCTGGCAACTAGAAAGAACTTGGAAAATAAAGGTCCAGGTACTGGTACCCAGTTACTCAAGTACCGGTATCTGGAAGACAGAAGGCTCAAGTACTAGTACCACGTGTAAGAGGTACTAGTACCTCTTTCAGACTTTTCAAAAATTTAAATATAACTTACCAAACCTTTGGGCTTTGACCCTTCTTACTTAAGGGATGTAATTGGTTCAATATTAAGTGAAATTGATGGGGATTGGACATTGGAATGGTTGTGATCGATATGTGCACATGTTATGGGTTTGGGAGTGCTCCGATACAAGGGAGACCCTGCCCAAACTCTGTGTGGGTAACCACCCAGGTGAAGGGGATTTGATGATGTAGTGTCAGGTTATACAACATACACGGGTACTTCCGCAGGTTGATGGGTGATCAACGAGTGAGAAAGGACCCTCGAATTTTGGGGTGTTGCAGCATGGTATCAGAGCCTAGGTTCTCAATTAACCTAGGGTTTGTAGGGCATGAGTCTAAGCCATTGCATCCATTATGCATTGCATGTTGTGTGAATTAAATGCTACATGTTATGTGCTATGTTAATTATATACATGATTAAATGTGTATGGAAATGAGACATTAGGGTTTGAAAACATAATTTTAGGGGTCAAAAAAAAAAAAAAAAAAAAAACGAGAAGGTTCATGATATGGGTGTCCAGTAATAGGTGGCACACCTTTTACTACTGAGACAAGGAGAGAAATCTCAATGTTTGACTTTGATCCCTAATTTTGTAATACTAAGTTAGTGCTCTATTGCTATCTTACTTGTGTGTAGATGACAAATATAGGAAGAGGATACCGGAATGGTCGAGGGAGTGGGCGGAACAATAATCAACTGTTGCTGACCTTTAATCGAAAAGCCTTTACGGAGGCTATGGACATAATGGCTGCCATCTTTATGCAAGCCAGTGCCAACATGGACCAAAGAGGCTTGAACAACCTTTAGAGGTTTAAGGCACACAAGTCACCTACTTTTCTAGGAGGAGAGGATCCGATAGTAGCCAACCGTTGGTTCCAACAAGCAGGTAAGGTCTTGGAGGTTATGGAGATCATATCCAACGCCACTAAAATAAGACTAGCTATATTTCAGCTTGAGGGAGAGGCCCATTTATGGTGGGAATGAGAAAAGATCTCAAAGAATATAGAAGCAATGACTTGGGGAGAGTTCTGGGAAATTTTCATGAGCAAGTACTTCTTGTTGATTGTTCGGCAATTGAGAGCTCGAGAATTCTTCGATTTGAAGCAAGGAAACATGATGGTGATGGAATACGTGACTTAGTTCACAGAGCTAACCCATTTTGCCGATGATTATGAGCCACAAATTTGGCCAAAGTGAGGAGGTTTGAAGATGGTTTGAAGTTATCCATATGAGTCAAGATTTGGGCCACTACCTATAAGATTTGGACTCAATAGTTGAGACGGCCATGACCATTGAGAGGGAAGTGGAAGATGCAAGGAGCATTACCGGTTGAACCAGTTTCCACCGATGCCCATGGCCAAAGAAACACAACCCTCCCAAATATCATAGCCCATCGCCCAAACCAATAATCCCAACCCTAATTCCAAGCTCCAAATTGCTCAATTCCATAATATTCTCATTCATTTTGAATTCTTTCACTTCAATTGAAAACCTCTTTCAATTCAATTACAAAACCAAACAGAATATATAGAGAGAAGAACGAGAGAAATAATTTCAGCCAAACCGATCCACTACTACTAGCACATTACCCAGGCTAGCGCAAGCAACACTCAGCCACTATTGTGCCTCCACAAGTCACCACTGAACTCTGCCTCATTGGGCTAGAGAGTAACCCAGGTGCTGATCGCGACTTCACACTATTTGAGCTCCGATGTCTTTGAAGGCTCCAACTTTCTATTTTTTGATCAAGTTCTTCTTCTTCCTATATCACATGTAACTCTGCGATCCAAAGCTTCCCCAAGTTTTTCTCTTTGTTTTGCTTGTGTTTTTGCTTCAACTATACTACCCAAATGCATGTATTCTGCGATGATGTTGTTCTTGTATATTCATGGGTTTTGTTACCCTTGTGGAAAGTGATAGGGGCTTGGAATATGGTTGTGAGATATTAGGTGGGTTTTTCATTTTGAATTAGAATATTAGGGATTTCTAAAATTGATAAATTGGGCTTCCTAAAACTGAAAATTCGGGTTTTTTTTTTATTTCTATCCTCACTTTTTTTTCTTTCTTGTTTTACTCATGGGGCTTTAGCTGTACTTAATTTCTTACGAAAAGTTATTACTTTGTTTTTAATGAGTACTTTTTTGATGTTTATGCTTGGTAAAATAATGTTCAATTTTTTTGTGAATTTACATATTTATGATTGCATGATGTCAAAATGGTGATTTTCGTAATGCTCAATCATGATTAAATTTTCATTCCAAGTTCTTATATTTTGTTTAATGATTGAGATATATTGATGTTTTTCATGATATCATTTAGAATTGTACTTTTTTTGTTCTAAATTGAATTGAGATAAATGTAGTCTTTTATATGCTTGTAAAAAAGCATACATTTCAACATGTTGCGTGTATACACGTCAAGTCGTATCCTTAACCATGTGAAATATTCTAGTATATCAGTACCGACATTTTAAAAAGCGATCGTCATGGGACGGTCGTTGCATATTGGTAACAATTGTTGATGATTCCCATTAACCTGGGTTTGCCATCATGCGTATGATGTTTTGGTACGTACAAGAAGGAGATTAAAGTAGACATCTTGTCAACTTTTTACTGTGGTACTGGGAAATAATTTCTCTGTCATATAAGATTTTGAAGTTTATGTGGACCTTCCGCTCCCCTCAGCGGCACCAAATACACAAAATTGCATTAAATATATGAAATTTGTGGAATGAACTTTTTTTTTCCTAAAATTTGAACTTCTCCTTGCATGTAACAGTATGGATTGATTAATGCAAAATCTATTAAAAAATGTTTTTGCCAATGGGATTGCAGGTTCGACGGCAAAGCCGGAAGATATGTACCGGATAATTGAGCACTTCTCCCTTTGGTGAAGATGAAATTATCGAGGTACAATATCCTTGCATTCTCTTATCCAAAAATTGAGAAAGGAAAAAAATCAATGAAAATAGCTGAATCCACTTTCCTGTCATCTGATGGGGTTGTTAAGTAGTTCATTGCGTGGTCAATTAAGATTTATATATTTAGTGGATAAAATGAAAACTGTATGTGATGACTTGGAATCCTGCTTGTCTAGTGATGATCATAATAGAGAAGTGGAAGTTTCTACAAGCTTATGGTACTTCAAAATATGAATGCATTTTGGAGCGGGCTTTGGTTGTGGTTTGCTGCCAAATGTATTTATAATTGGATTTGATGCAATGGCACAATTGGAGATGTTGAGAACAAGATAGGTGAATCTGGAAACAGCTTCTGCCATTTTTCCCTTTTGGGAAAACTTCATATGTTAAAGACGTGTGTTAAATACCCTTGTTATAGAACTTCGTTTCTTTAAGATACTAAATTTTAGCAAAATGGATTCTCTTGGAAAAACAACACTGAAAAATGCACACCTAGGCCCATTTAAACAGTTCCATAAATAGTAGTGTTATAGCATCATGTGACACAATAGCTCATGTCGTTTGTATCCTAAGACCAGATTGGTATGATGATCCTATGTGGATTTACTTTTCTGCTATGGTGAATGACCCTTTGTCTTTAACACGTGCATGTTTTTCTGACTTTATTTAATTGGCATTTTCTACAATAGTGCCGACCAAGAAATTTGTAAAATTTCAGGCATATGTGAGTAGCTTTGCTGATAAGGATGGAAAAGTTTGGCAAGGTGGGGGAGGACGAAATCCTCTACCCGAAGCACTTCATCTCATTGTAACCACCCCAGAGATAGAGGCTTTTTGGCCCAAGTCGCCGATGAAGAAGAAGCAGCAGAAGCAGTCTGCATCTATCTCTCTGGCAACAAGCAATTCCACCAACCAAAGGTCTGCCGAAAATTCAAGAACAATCATCAAAAAAAGAGAAGTTTCCAGCAGTGTTTATTTTTTATGTTTTAACCAGAAAAATTAGAAAGCACAGGGTGATGTTTCATTGTATGCATCTAACTATTGAAAAATTCACTTTTTCTGGAAGTTTAATATTTCTTTCTTGCAATGATCATTGCCATACTTGTATTATACACAATGAAGGTGAGTGATGTTTATCGTGTTTTGTTGGGTTTGAGCCTTGTTAATCAGAGTGCACATTAATATCATTCTTAATTAAACATGTCAGATGAACTAAATTAACCTCCTCCTCTTCTCTCTCTCTCTCTCCCTCTCTTGTTCTCCTTGCTAGTGCCTACAGGCACCTATGCAGCCCAACATCCTCCTCTCTCTTCCCTTATTTTTCTCTCTTTATCTTCCTCTCTAGCTCTCCTTGCTAGTGCCGATAGGCACCCATGCCGACCGGCAATAGCAATAACAGCTTATGGGTCCAGCTCATACAGACCAAGGAGGCTACTCTCCTTAGCCAAGACCAACTGAAGGTCATGCTTGGTGTGGGACCACTTGTGGTCGGCAGTAGCAATAACAAGCTTCTACAAGCTCTAGCAAGTCTAAACACTAGCACATGGAAGGACATGCAAAGAGCAAGACCAAGCACATGCAAGGAGCATATCTAGCAAACCCAAGCTATTGCTACTGCAGGTGGACAGCAACAAAACATTACCACTCCGAGGTAATCAACAATGCGTTGGGTCACTCTGAGGTAGCCACTAAACCGGCGCAAGTGTTGACCAGTAGGTGTAACCCACCAAAGAAAACTCTATGGAGGCTCTAGCTTCTTACCCACTTCTATAGGACAAATCCTATTAAGCTAAGGATTAATCTGGACCTAGAATCTTATCGAAACTCTATTTTGAGTATCAAGGGACTATTGATAAAGATCAACAAAGCCTCCCAGCGAGCACATCTCTTCCTACAATCTAGGGGATTGGTGATGATGTCTGTCTTATCATAACCTAGAGTTCAAGTCTATGTGGAACATCGCTTCCTATATCACTATAAATAAAAGTATCAGATACCAGGTAAGGGAATTCGATCCCAACTCACTTACTCTATACTTTTCTTCGACTGCCATTGATTCACCTAGGTTTTCTTTTATCTTGTTGGTTCACCAAGGCTTCTCCACCACTATCTCAGTCCATAGGAGGTGGTGACCTTTTGCGTGGAATTATCCCCCCTCAATTAGTGCCATCTGTGGGAATGAAGTTTTCTACTAACTAAGAAGCCTTAAACCATGCCTTACAAGAGAGCTCTCAATCCTGAAACAAGCCATTCACTACTCCCACTACCCTTGATCCACGAGGATCCTGCTAACTATGACCTCCAGTTATCAAAGGAATTGCTACCCCAGGATAGTCAAGATCACTCAAAAGGAACCCTCATTCTCAATGCAGCCTACCAACCCTTGGTGCAGAAGTTGGGTTGACTACCAAAAATGATTACCATGAGGTAATTAGGAAGAAGATGGAGGAGTTGGAAGCTCTTAAGAAAGGCCTCCTACGTTAGAGTATGAAACAACTAGCTAGCGAGGTCAGGCCTTCGACCCGTAACTATGCCCGTCAGAATGATCATATCAAGGAAGCCCATTCCTCCCAACATAAAAGCCATTCTCATGTGAAGAGCTACTTGACTTATAATCAGAGTCGCTGTAGTTACTCACCTAGGAGAAGCATTACCAACTACACCCTTAGAGACCCCTCTCTGAGACACAAACACCCTCATTGTAGGGAGGAGGGAGGTGAAATACGTTGACAACATCATCCAAGGGAGCGAAGGGAACATCATGAGAGTCCTTTCCGCCATCATAAGGAAGACCAATGAGACGACTACAGAGAAGAGAAGCGAAGACACTATGATCTAGCTTATGAAGTGGCCACTCGGCTACAACATAACTATGCCCATGACGGCCTCGTCTACTCAGCAAAGGAAACAGTGAGGCAGATCCTTGGAAAGATGACTACCACACCTTTTGTTTCATGTGAGAATTCGAACCCCCACAAAAGTTTAATCCTCCAACTTTTGAATTATATAATGGTAAGACTGATCTTGTGTTCTACATTGGAGCCTAAACTAATAAGATGATCCTCTGGACAAATAATGAGGCAGTGATGTGCAAGATGTTCCCCTCTAGTTTAGGGAAATCAACTCTTAAGTGGTTTCATGGGATGCCTGTGAACTCAATCTACTCTTGTGAGCAACTCGTCGGCGATTTTGTCTCATGATTCATAGCCAATAATTGAGATTCGATGACGATTGATAAACTCTTGGCACTACACCAAAAATGAGGAAAGACTCTCCGCGAATATGCCACAAGTTACCTAGAGACTTATGCCGACATCAAAGAATGTGACGATAAGACTGTTGCTGTCTCTTTTCGCTTGGACCTCCCAAGGGAGAGCAAGTTAAGGAAACATCTCACTATGTGGCCACCCTGGAGTATGTCCCACTTGTAGGAGCACATCAAGAGATATGTGAAGGTGGAGGACGATAAAGGGCCAACTGATCGACTACGATCTCCACCGAGGAAGAATCAACGGAAGGAGAGTAACTCCACGAACCCATCAAAGAAGGGAGAGACATCAAAAGGGACGAAAGAATCATCCCAAAGAACCGATACCATCTTCAAGGAGACAATTTATCAAATTTTGAATCAGATCAAGGACAAGGATTACTTTAGGTGGCCACCAAAGATGACAGGGGACCCTTTCAAGTGAGACCAAAACCTCCACTGTTCTTACCATAAGGATAAGGGCCACCAAAAAGAGAATTGCCGCACTTTCATGCGCCACTTGAAAGAACTGGTCAAGCAATGCCACCTATCCTAGTACATAGACAAGGAGAAGGCTGCTAAAGTGCAGGTGGAGTGGCGAGCCCGACTATATGTTCAGCCTTGACCAAAGGATGATCAACCTCCCAAAGTAATAAATATCATCTTCAGCACCACTCCTTTAATGCAAGTTGACTCGGTCCAGTCTTGGACCAAGTATCGAAAGGTCCGCCATCTTCAGCATGTTATGCAAGCATATCACCAAGATGATCATACTTCCAAGTGCCAAAGGGCAGAAACAGAAAACATCTCCATCATATTCTCAGATGCTGATCTCGAAGGAGTGGTCCACCCACATAACGACCCCCTTGTTCTTACTCTCAACATGAGCAACTTTGAAGTAAGGCGTGTGCTCATTGACACTGGGAGTTCAATAGAGATCATGTATTTTAACCTTTTTAAGAAGTTGGGAAAAACTCAGGCCGATCTCCTCCCAATGATGACCTCACTCATTAGCTTCAATGACATGCAAGTTTGGCCTCTCAACAGGTTGTGGCTTCCTATTAAGGCCAGCACACAAGTGTTTGAGGTAGAATTTTTAGTGGTGGATGTTTTGTCACCTTACAATGCTATCATGGGGAGGCCGTGACTTCATCAGATGCAACTGGTAGTCTTCACTTACCATCAAATGTTACACTTTTTGATCAATGAAGGGATAGCCGAGATTCGTGGTGACCAAGCTACCTCAAAACAGTGCTTCAGTATAGGGGCCAAATTGATGGCCAAGTCACAACAAATCTTCATAGCTGATGAAGAAGTCCCTTTTCTTGAGGACATAGGGGTCAAGCCCAAAGACAAGTTAGTCAAAGAACAACAGGTCATACTAGTAGACCAAGCATATCTAGATAGGTACTTCTTCATCTGATCACTGCTACCTGCCCTCGAGAAGGAATCCCTTATTGGGCTACTAATGAGGAACATCAAGATCTTTGCCTGGACACCTTATGGGATGCTTGGGATTGATCCCTCATTAATTAGCCATCATCTTAACGTTGATCCTACTCGCAAGCTTGTTGTTCAAAGGAGTAGAAGGTCTGCCCTCCAACAAATGAAAACCGTTGGTGAAGAAGTGGGCAAGCTCTTGGAGGCCAGTGTTATAAGGGAGGTCCAATGCCAGCAATGGTTGTCAAATACCGTTGTGGTGAAGAAGAAGAACGAAAAGTGGCTCCCTTCCCAATTCCAAAGATCTATCTCTTGTGGATGCAACATTTGGCCAGGCAAGGACGAGCTTCTTAGATGCATATAGAGGCTACCATCAAATTCCTATATTTGGGCCTGATGAGGAGAAGGTTGCGTTCATCACACCAAAAGGAATCTACTACTACAAGATCATGCCCTTTGGCTTGAAGAATACAAGAGCTACCTATTAAAGAATGGTGATGAAGCTCTTTGGCTCCATGATTGGCCAAACAAAGGACGTATACATCAATGATATGGTGGTTAAGAGTAAGGAGTCGGAAACCACCTCTCTAACCTTTAAGACATATTTGACATCTTGAAGCTTCACAAGCTTAAGCTTAATGCTTCCAAGTGTACCTTCGGAGTAAGCTTTGGGAAATTCCTAGGACACCCAGTCACACGAAGAGGGATAGAGGTAGATCCCAATCAGATCAAGACTTTGCAAGAAATTAAAAAGCCTTCCTCAATCAAGGAAGTCTAGATGTTAATGGGTATGGCTACGGCCCTTAACTGATTTATCAGTAGATCTTCAGACCGATGCAGACCCTTCTTTCAGTTGCTTAGGGTAGGTCGGGCCTTCCATTGGGATGATGAGTATGACAAGGCCCTCGATAACTTGAAAAGTTACCTCTAAACACTCATTTTGCTCTTTACTTCTTCATAAGGGGAAGAGATTCAACTCTATTTAGTCGTATATAAGCACGCTATAAGTGGAGTATTACTACGAGCAGAAGGAAGATAGCAGAAGCCCATCTACTTCATAAGCAAAATGTTATTGGGGCAGAGACGAGGTACACCCCCTCAAAAAAATCCTTTTCACCTTGGTTGTAGTTTCTAGCAAGATGAATCATTACTTCCAAGCACATACCATTGCAGTAATCACTGAACACCCTCTAAGAAGTATTCTTGGTAAGGCAGACCTCTCTGGTCGCACTGCAAAGTGGTCACTTGAGTTAGGGTAATATGACCTCAAATTCATTCTAAGGACGGTGATTAAAGCATAACCCTTAGCCGACTTC